CTGTTATAAGAAGAGTACCAGCGTAATCTAAGATGTAGGGGCATGCAGCAGTTTCAAGCACTGAACTACAAGTGTTTTATTATGGTGAGAAAATAGGGTGGGGTAGGGGAAGGGCGGAGGAGTTTGGGCCTAAACAGGAGCCTGGAAAGGGAAGCAGGAGACTGATTTTTAACAGCTCATATTATACCATGCAAAGGGCCTTAGCTTTTCTAAGAGGCTTGGGGAGCCATTGAAATGCTTAAAGTATAATCAACTGGGTAGTTAGGCGGTGCTAGAGAGATTGGAAGAAAACCAAAGCAAAGCTGTCAGTTGGAAGACATTTCCAAGAGAGTGGCAGTGGAGATGGTGTGGCAGGAGCAAGCACAAGGTTTAAGGAGCCCGAGACCACCGGGACTGGTCGGTGACAGTCAGGCAGATGAGAAGGAAGTATGATGAGATGTCTGGTGTGAATTTCAAATTTTTGACCTAAGAAATTGGAGATACTGTTAGGAAGAACCAGTTAGGGGAGAAAAAAATACTAAGATTTCAGTTTTAAACATGTTTAATGAGAATATTTATGTGCACCTTTACTCAGAAGGCAGTTGGAGCTATGGGAACAGAGCCTGCAAAGAAGTCTAGGCTGGAGACTGATATTTGTGTTCCTCAGCGTGTTGGTGGTTATTGAAGGCATGGGAGGAAGCGCAGTCGTTGAAGATGAGAAGGAAGAGTGAAACAGGAAAAGAACTAAGGAAAGGGCAATATTCAGGGCATACCAACATTTGGTAGATTTTTCAAAGGCAGATCAACCTACAAAAGAAACTAGGAAGAAAACGTCAGGGAAGTTAAGGTCTAGGCCAGAATTGAATGATGTCAATCCAAAAGGAGGACTGACCAGGATGAAAGGGATTGAAAATAGTCTCAGTCAAATCAAACACGACCATACTGGAGGGAGGGAGGGAGAAACTTGGAGGGACAGGAGCATGTGCTTACGTTTCTGATGTGACACAGCATTTTAAGAAACAGGCTGTGTCCTTGGAAGGCAGAGACTAAACGGGTATGAAAGTGAAGATTACAGCCAGGTAATCAAAGAGGTTGTATTGATTCACATCAAATAAATGTGAAAGTGACCCAGGATGAGGGTTGTAGTTCTTGGAATGGAGAAGGATACTGTCAGCTGAGTGGGTATCCTCAGTGAATGAGGTGTAACAACTCATAAACAGGTTGTAGAAAAAGAGGAAAGTCCTCTGGGCAGCCACACTTACTTTTACCTCTGTCTCACAGATATCTGTCGAGATACCTATCACTTTGTAGTTTATTTTTATGATATCTTCACTTTCGCATTTGTTTCTTTGTTCCATTTATCTTCTGCTAGATTGTAAGCTGTTTAAGAGCCTGTGCTGTTTTTCATTATTGCTTTATCCTTACCACCTAACAAAGTGTCTGCTACGTAATCCTCCATTGGAAACTATTGAATGATCAATTGAATGAAAATGGAAAAGAGGGACAAAAAGAAAGAATGAAAGAGTCAGGTGGTTAGAAAGGAAAATGAGTCATTCTCTTAATTCTCATCCTGGACAGCAAGCCTTCCCTTGTGGATAGGTCCTTTGTCTTATCCTGTGCCATCAAATGCCACCAGCGTAGTGTCTCTTGCAGAGTAGATCCTCTGGAAAAATTGCCAGGGTGGATAAGTGGGAGCATTGCCAAGGCATATTTTAATTTTATAGGGTTTTCTTTCTTTTTATATTTTATTAATTTTTAATGTAACAAGTAATTGAAGAAAAGCTGTATTAACAGATTATTGGATTCATAAATACAGTGAAGTATTCATGTTGTATATTTCACATATCTGATTTTATATGGCGATAGGTCTGTTGATTCTTCTGGGAAACGAAACTCTTTATGACAAAATACACTTCCTATTTGGTGGAGAGTGAACCAGTAAGTTCACTCCGCGGTGCTTTGGCTCTGCTACCGCCGGGTCACCAATTGACCTGCCATCCCTTAGAAAGGCCATCCTTAAAGGAGCGGTTAGAAAGCACCTGCCACCGACACTCCCCTACCTGTGAACCTTATTCTTTGTCTTTCTCCCTTTCTGTTTTTCCCAGTTCTTGCCTTTTTACTTTGGAGAACTGGAGAATCACTATCTTCCTCAACTAAACTTGCAACATTAATCTCTAATCTTGGTTTTTCCTCATGCCAGGAGAACTGAAGTCAGTCAGTCATTCTCAGTGTTGGAAATTCTACCCTATTCTGAATTATTATGCAGGAAAAGTAAGATTTCTGAACCAACTTGAAGGACGTGACAGTGTTAGGAAGTCAAAAAATTATTACCACATTTCTCTACTTGTATTTTGGCTAAATATAATGAATTTTTTGTACCATGGTTATCTTTTCCTGCCATTCTTTCTGCTTGCTTTCTTGTTTTTATCTCTAAAGAAAATATCTGACCGCTAGATGACCCATTAGAACACATTATCTTGTAAAATACGTGTCATTATGTAAGTGCTTTTCCCACTTTCTTCTCCATTGTGTATGACTGGATATATTTATTTTTGTTTGTTTGTTTTTAACCTGGTAAAATGCCAACCTCTTTCTGTTTTAAATTTCTCTTAGACCACCATAATAAAATGCCTTGTGTATTGCTATACCCCTTAAGGGTTTTTAATGCTGTTCTCTGCTCTTTTGCAAGGAATATAAATTAAAATCTTCCGACTCTCCCAGTGGGTGTAATATTACTGTGGAACATTGTGGAATATCCAAATGTAGCTAAAATTGAATCATTAAATTTCATTCTGCTGGAATCATACAGTTTAAGAGATGAGGACTAGAATAGCCCTGATAGGTCGTCTAGTCCAGCCTCCCTGTTAAATAGATGAGGAAATGAAGCTCCAAAGACAGTGGCCTACCCAAGGGCACAAGGCTGCAAATGCCTTCAACAAGACTGGTTTCCCTTTCACTGTACTCCTTACCAAACTCTGACCTTCATCGGGCAGGCTCCTTTACCCACCTCCTCCTTCAGGATGACATTTCTCACTGCCGTTAGCTTTCTCCATAGCACTAGCAACATATTCAGCCCATGCCTTTTATTACCACTTGTATTTACTGTGGTTGAAAGTCATTCTATGGTAGGAGTTGAGAACTCTGAAGAAACTGTGGTAATTTGAAAACTTACTAAGTGCTAATATCATGGCCAGAAAGAGTTAATGCAAATTTTCAAAATGTCTAAATTATTCCTAAAGACAGACCTACAAAAGAATCTGGTTTTTCCTCTTAGTTTATTGTCTGTGGAAGGCCATATACAATGTTAAGATGACACATAGTTTTGTAAACCGATAGAAATTAGAATTGAGAATAAAATCCTATATTCTTCTACCTGATGAATCTGGTACCATACGTGAGGGTACTTTCTTAATTTGTTGAAATCTGCTTTTATTTTTATGGTACAAATAGAATAAAATAGTAAACTTCAACTCTCTCTCATCTGTAAAGTGAGGACATTTTAATACTCCGCACACAATTGAGGATTGGAATGATACTGTTAACTTCCCTTGCTTATTTATTATAATTAAAGGAGTGTTTTTTCTCTAATATAAAACTTAACATAAAACTTTTAATGTATATTTGTATAAAATGGTTCATTATAAATGTATGTCTCCTCTAATTGCCTTTTTTTTAAACTTACAATTAAGTCCGTTGTAGTAGATTCTAGATCAAATATGTGGGTGTGTATTTACAGTTAACTTGGAGACTTAACAAGGCTAGTCTTTAGTGACTGCTATCTTCTGACTGAAATCTGAAAAAACGAACAAGAGTCCATTTTAAAGCCTCTGACTGTAGAAAATACTTTTTGGTTGACATTAATACTGTGCATTCAATGCGCTTTACAGAACATTTAACTGATTTTTAAATCATTGACAGCAGTCTTATATCTATTTCTCATACAATGAATGTTTAGTCAGAAAATGTACTTTACTTATAAAATCTATAGCTATTCCTAGTTTGTTCTTTTCAATAAGCTAACCAAAAAAAGTTGTCTTATTCAGGTTTTATTGTTTTTCTTTCTTCACAGCTACGACAGTTAGTTAATATGTGCATCAATCCAGATCCAGAGAAGCGACCAGATGTTACCTACGTTTATGATGTGGCAAAGAGGATGCATGCCTGCACTGCAAGCAGCTAAACATGCAATATCATGAAGAGTGTAACCAAAGTAAATTAAAGTATTTCGTGCAAGTCATACCTCCCCGTTTATGTCTGGTGTTAAGATTAATATTTCAGAGCTAGTGTGCTTTGAATCCTTAACCAGTTTTCATATAAGCTTCATTTTGTACCAGTCACCTAAATCACGTCCTTGCAACACCCAAATGACTTTGGAATAACTGAATTGCATGTTAGGAAAGAAAATGAAACATGATGGTTTTGAATGGCTAAAGGTTTTTAGAATTACTTACAGTTTTCTGCTGATAAATTGTGTTCAGATAGACCATCAGTGCCAAATATTGAAGGTGCAGCTTGGCACACGTCAGGGTAGACTCAGACCTGAGAATAAGTCTCTGAACATGTGACTTGTTTCTTTTTTAGTAATTTATGGACATTAAGGCAGACCCACAATTGTGAACTTTTGTCATGATTTTATTTTTGAACGTTTGAAGTACTAGTTTTTAGTTCTTAGAGTAGTTTTCAAATATAATTCTTATGATAACTGTAGACATAACTATTTGAGAAACATTTAAAACTCTTAGCTTATACATTCAAAATGCAACTATTAAATGTGAAAAGATTTGGGGACAAAGTGAGTCAGACACTGAAGAGTTTTTTGTTTTGTTTTAGTATTTTTGATATTATCTTTGCATTGAAATGGTATAAATGAATCCATTTAAAAAGTGGTTAAGGATTTGTTTGGCGGTTGTGATAATTTTTAAAGTTGCACATTGCCCAAGGCTTTGTTTGTGTGTTTTTATTATTGTTTGTACATTTGAAAAATATTCTTTGAATAACCTTGCAGTACTATATTTCAATTTCTTTATAAATTTAAGTGCATTTTAACTCATAATTGTACACTATAGTATAAGCCTAGGTTTTTATTCATAGGTATTATTGAAGTTCTGATTGGGCCCCTTCAGAAATGTTTTTATATTATTCTTCAAGTTACTTTCCTATTTATATCGTATGTGCATTTTATCCATTATTGTTTCATACTTTTTGAAAGCCTAATGCCCTTTTAAAAGATATTTGGTATACCAACACTTTTGCCAGATTGAAAACATTTTTTTAAACTTTTTAAAATTTGGGCCACCCTGTGTGCATGTGTTTGGTCTTGTTGAAGAGGAAGAGAGGATGAGAGGATGTGTGTTGTACTGTACCTGTGAATGTTGATACAGTTTCAATTCATTTGACAAGGTTGTAATTCTAGAATATGTGTAATAAAATGAAAACTGGCCGTTACTACAGCCAGAATTGTCACGAGATTAACTTTTCTATTGAGAAGCTTTTGAGCTAACTACCGTATTTGTTCACGAAGATGACTGAGATGGTAACACTTCCCGTGGCTTAAGGAAATGGGCAGAGTTTAGTAAATGCCTTTGTGCAGATGTGCCTTCCCTGAATGCTTTCTTATTAGTGGCGACCAGCTCCTCACAGAATTGTGAAGCCCAAAGGCCAAGAGGCAGTCACAGTTTTAAAGGACCCTGTGCCACCATACAACCTTAGGATGAATTATCCTGCCAACGTGAAAACCTCATGTTCAAAGAACACTTCCCTGTAGCCGACGTAACTGCTGGTTTTGTTTTTCATATGTGTTTTTCATACACTCGTTTGAATGCTTTCAAGTTATTTGTAAACTTAAAAAATGTGTAAAGGGCAAGAAGTATAAACTCTTGTTTTTTGAAATCTAATCAGTTATGTATGGTTTCTGAAGGGTAATTTTATTTTGGAATAGGTAAAGGAAATCTGTTTTCTTTTTTTTTTTTTTTTTTCCTGGGGGCTAGATTCTCACACTCTAGTGACTTCTAACATTTATACTGAGCATCCATAGATATATTCGTAGAAGTATGAGAAGAATTATTCTTGTTGACCATTAATGTCATGTTCATTTTAAGGTAATGTAATTGTGATGAAATGTTCTCTGCTTGGAACAGATACTCACTTTTTTTCTTTAAGAATATATGGATCTAAAATTCATTAGCATGACCCCTCAAAGTGACTTTTAAGTAAAGATTTAAACTTTTCTTCTCAGTGAATCTATCTGCTAGAAGGAAATAGCTGGGAAAAATTTAATGATCAGGGAAATTCATTATTTCTACATGTGGAAACTTTTTGCTTTGAATATTATATCTTTTTAATCTAAATGTTTGTATTTTTCCCAAAGAAACCACTGTATAAAAATCAAATTTTAATTTTGAATGGGATAATTTCAAAGAATTATGAAGATGATTTGAAGCTCTAATTTATATAGTCACCTATAAAATGTTCTTTATATGTGTTTTTAAGTATATTGATTAAGTTAAACATTTGAATTGATTTGAGGAGCAGTAAAATGAAAGCTATATGGATTCTAAACCTTATTTAGACATTGGTACCAGTTACTCCGGGGAAAATATGGAGTAACTTTGTTTTGCATGGTAAGGTTTAGGAATGGTGGATGAAGGGTATCTCTATATAAATAAAGTGCTCAACAATGTGCAATGATTGTAAATTTAGTAAGATATTACAGCCATTTCATGAATGCTTTACCATTCTACATAGTATCTATTACAAAACACCTTTCTTGTATCCATGTACTTCAGGTGTTGCTGTTAACATTTACTATGATATTTATTTTAACCAAAATGTTATTCACATTAAATGTTTATTCTTTAAAATGAATGTATTATGTTTATAACCCACAAATGCATACTTACCCTGTGCCTCATATTTCAATAGTACTGTAATATGTACATCTTTTTGTGAAATACTTTTATTTTGTTATGCTTTAAATATACATACAAAAAGATTGTTATTAGTTTGAAAATTGTACAATATCCTAATATAAACAAAAACATAAAAATAAAAATGAATACAGTAAAATGTCTGGGTATCTATGATTTTTTTCCCCTAAGGTCTTCCATTATTTGTTTTACTTAATACTTAATCTATAGAAACAGGTCTTACACATTTTCATAACTTTGCCATTTTGGAGAAGCTTAAGAGTTGGAATAGACAACGTTGATAGCAGAGATTATACAAATCCTAAAAAGTGGTTTTATCAATATGCATTAAACTAAGGCACATCTTCACGTTCTCTTCTCTTCAAGACATCATTTTCTGGCTTTGAATGAGAGAAGTTTTCTAAAAGGTTAAAAAAAAAGTGACATTAATTGTACTGCTTTGAATCTTTAGAGCATAGGAGTCCAATCTTTTGGATTCTCTGGGCCACACGGAAAGAAGAATTGGCTTGGGCCACACATAAAATATGCTAAACCTAACAATAGCCAATGAGATAAAGAAAAAAATAATCCCACACACACACAAAAATTCATGTTTCTTAAAAGTTTACTAATTTGTATTGGGCTTCATTGAAAGCCATTCTGGGCCGCATATGGCTCAGGGACTGTGGGTTGAACAAGCTTGCTTTGCGAGTCTGAAATTTACGTGACAGATTCCATTTCTGTCATTGTAATGGGCTGCTAAGAATGTTACAGATGGTTTATATTGAGTGTTCCCTTCGCATAATAAGTGAAAGTTACTACTACACCTGAAAACTTGAGTCTAAAAGACCTTAGTGGGACAAAACCTACCAGACTGGTGGTAGAGTGAGTGGATGTTCCTTACACATCAGAATTTTATTCCAAATAGATCATCATGAAGAATGGCTCATTTTGTAAGAATTTTAGCCATAGGCAGTGTTTGGGGCTAGTTACAAATTTTTATTTTTAAAAAGTGTACTTGCTTTTAGCCATGTATGTTTAACAGCTGTAAGTACGATTAAATTGATGCAATTACTGTTTAAAATCAGAAGGATGACATTATTAACAAAGACAACTGCAGTGAATCCCTTGAGTTATTAAAAGTCTTCCATGAAGTTGTGTTATTTTTAATTACATGTGAATTTCTTTGATTAACAGACAAATATGTGAATATAAAGTTTACATTTAAATTGAGAGATTTATTTGAGGGAGTTTTCTTTCTGGTCCTACATACCAATTTCAATGTTCACTTGGGTACCTAAATCTATTTTTAAACCTCAAAAAGAAAAAGTTGAAGGACTTTTAAAGTTAGGATTTGCAACCAGGGGGTTTGAGTACATTATTTTTACTGCGAGTGTTACAGTGCACAGGAAGTAATTTTTTCACTCCTTTCTCAAAGTGAAACCCTGTATATTAATTATTTAATTGCTCCAATCCTCACTTTCTCACATATATTATAGGGATATCATTTCCTAACTCTACAGGATCATTGTAATGCATTTTATAATGACTAAATGCAATGCTGCATATTCTCTTGTACACAGTTATCAAGCACTAATAGTGATAAATGTAGCTCTTAATACACAAGGATGAAAGAGAAGATGTGTGTTACTTCTCTTGCTATACTTCCATCCACTTTTGCCTTGTTCTCTCCATAAGTCCTACTGGCCTAGTTTTTTAAAAGCCCCAAGCTCTTTCTCACCTTAGGAACAATGTAGGAACAATGGCTCTTCCCTTTTTGCTAGCAAAAAAATCCAACTAATCTTTCAAAGCTGACTTTAAATACCCTTTTTGAGGAACCAGCCAGACTACAGTCTGTACTTTTCCATTTAGTGCTTACCTCAGCTGTAGCCAAATGATTGCTTGCATGATTCTTTCATTTCAATCTTCCTGATAGATAAATGCTAGAATGACAAGTACTTCCCGCATTGTTCACTATGGTGTTTGACATTTAATAATGCAGTGCCTGGTTTGTCGTACTGAGTTTATTTGCTGAATTAATAAATGAGCATTATAATGCTGTAAGCATAAGCCAAGCATCACAGAGTGTTGAACATAGATGCAAAACATCAAAAATCAGGAAAGACGGAGGCAGAGAAGGAGGTAAGACATGCAAAAACAAAGACGCTAAAGCAAAAGAAGATTTTGAAGTTATCATTGCCATGAGTTGCAAAGAAATTGAAAGCGATAAGGACTGAGATGAGGCCCCTGGGCTTAATGAAAAACACGTCATAATGTCTTCAGAGCGCCATGTCAGGAGACTTGAGTGGGAAACACTGGGATACAAACAGGAATTATGGCATATGGAGAAAAATCAGATGATAATCTGAATTGGCAGCAGATCATTTTTTTAAGATAAAGTGATTGGGACCGTTTAAAAGTTAGGAAAATTAGCAGATGGAGAAGAAACTGAAGATTGCAGAGAGGGAATGCAAAAGGTGGTAAAGAATGGGATGCACAGAAAGGATTGGTCTATTAACCACAAACAGTTACTGAGGAACCTGTGTACTAGCTCCACATGTACAATCTTAGCGCAATGCTTCTGTTTTTACGGACTTAAAGTCAAGTCAGGAAGAAACACATGTAACAAATGTGAATGCATAAATGCGAATTTTGATGACTGCTATGAAGAGACAGACTGAGAAAGTGACGTTTAAATTAAGATGCCTAAAAGGACTCAGCCAAAGAACAAAGGGGAAGATCATGCCAGGCAGAAGAAGACCTGTGAAGATCTTGGGGTGAGCGGTAGCTCTGCCATCTCAGATGCAGAAGAAGATGAAAGTGTGAGAGCAGGGGGTGGAGTAACGCAGGGTAAGTTTGGAGGCGTACTTTTCCTCTATACTTGAAATAGGAATTTAAATGGGGGGAAGTCATGATAGCTAAAATTATAAAATGCTTAGAAAAATTGATCAAGAAAGGTGTAAGACTTCTATGAATAAAATCTTGTTGAAGGACACAAAGCAACTCCTGAACAAATAGAGAAAGAGGCCATGTTCTTGAATGGGAAGATTCATATAAATATCAAGCACTCTGTAATAGTATTGCAGTATCTGAGTCCCACCTTTTTTGGAACCAGATAAAATGTTAAAGTTCATATGGAAAAATATATAACCAAGAATAGTGAAGAACATTTTTAAGAGCAAAAATAGACTAAACTTACCAAATATAAAAGCTTACCATAAAAATAATTAAAACAGAATGGAATTGGCAAAGAATATAGGTAGGTAGAATGGTCAAAAAAGGTCAAGCATACACCCAAATATTACCCGATCTTACATGAGAGAGGACTCTATGGGAAAAACTTCTATTTGTGTTTTATTAAAAGGTACTGGCACAGCTCTTCACCGAAAGAAAAAAAAGGGCCCTAACATGATAGAAAGGTAAATACCAAGTTAATTAATGATGTAATTTCTTTTAAAAAGTAGAAATTTTTAGGAGAAAATTTAGAAGGCATAACCTTGGAAGTGAGTGACCTATATAAAGTAGACAGAAAACTCGAAAAAAAATGAATAAATGGCAACGAATAAGCAAAATAAAAATACAAAGGATAAACTGGGAACCACATGTAAGTAAATAACCTCAAACTGATAAGTGAAATAAGTAAAAAGGCAAGCAAATAGAAAAAAGGAACAAAAGATTTAAGTGGACAATTCACAGTGGAAGAGCATCAATAATCAATAGCAGAAGAAATCAGTCAATAAACATGAACAGTGCTGTCTTCCAGTGTTGGAGAAGATGAAGGAGACGCACTGTTCTGATCGTTGTTGGCAGTGTGAATTGTGAATAAAAAGTCATCTGGCATTATTTGTCAGATACACATATTCACTTTGACATAGGAATCTGGAGAATCCATTCTACAGAAACAAAAGCAGCAGTTTATAAAGACTCTCTTTCTCTATTTTCCCACAAAGATTGTTATTGCAGCATAGCATACAGTGGAAAAGGAACTGGAAGAAGAGAACCCTGAATGTCTGTGAATAACAAGTCATTGGTTGAATAAATTATTTTATACCCCCGTTGTTAATAAAAAGATGGATTTGGTTTTCTGTCTTTTCCTTAAGTCTATGATGCTTCTGTTCCTAATAATATGAGTTCCAAGCTAATATTATGGTGGTTCCATTTTAAAAAACAAACTCCAGCATGTTTATGTTTGAATATGTTCGCATTAACATATAGAAAGGTGAGGATGGACACAAATTAAGCTGCTAACATGAATCATCTTAAGAGGATAGATGACAAAGAATGTGACCGATATAGTTATGTTCTGCCTTATACATCTTTGTAATTATTTTTGTTCAGTACAAAACATGGATGTTTTTTCCTAATTAAAATAAATATTGGCTGGGTACAGTGGCTCACATCTATAATCCCAGACATTGGGAGTTCAAGGCAGGAGGATGACTTGAGGCCAGAATTCGAGACCAGCCTGGGCAACATAGCAAGACCCTGTCCTTTTACAAAACATAATTTTTTTTTTTCAAATGGCTGAACACGGTGGTGCAACCTAGCTATGCAGAAGGATCATGTGAGCCCAAGAGTTCCAGGTTGAATGAGCTATGATCACACCACTGCACTCCAGCCTGGGGACTGAGTGAGGCCCCAATTCTAAAATAATCATAAGAAGAAGAAAATAACTCATTTTTAACTTTCAGTTGAGTCTATGCCTTTAAACATTTAATTTGGAAATATTTACAAACTTACAGAAAAATTGCAAGACTAGCACAAAGCTCTCCCATGAATATTTTATCCAGGTGCCTAAAATGTTAATATTTTGCCATTTTTGCTCTGTTATTGTCTCTTCATATCTACATTTTTTCTAGCCAACTGAGAGCAAGTTCCAACATGATGCCCCCAGTATTTTACTATTTATTTCCTAAAAGACCAAGACCATCTTTTACATAACTACAATACAACCATAATAATCAGGATACAACATTGATTCAATATTTTTTAACCTACAAATTATGTTCAAATTTCACCAACTGGCTTTTATAGCAAAAATCTTTTTTTCCTTTGTTTTTCATCCAGAATCTAGCCAAGGCTCATATGCTACATTTAGTTGTCATGTGTCTCTAGTCACCTTCAATCTATGACAGTTTCTCAGTCTACTTTTATACTTTG